AAATAAGCTTCCCAACCATCTTTCTGTAGCTTCTCAGCTTTTGTTAAGACATCATCCCTTGTGTCTTTTTGATACTGACTCATCCTGCCGATGACAAGTGTTGCCACATCATTGACATCAATAAAATTGGTGTAAACAAGACAAAAATTAGAATTCACAATGTTTCAAGTTCGAAGACATCCATCGTATCTTTATAAAGAGAGAGGGGAACCTACCTTGACAATAGATCAGCATCACCAACTCCCAACATCCTGACCTCCAGCAATCCCGCGCTTGTAGCATTGTTGACTGCAACCGTGGCAACTGGAACACGCCTTGGCATCTGCATCATGAAAAGGTGAATAAACATCCAGCATTCAGAAAATGTAATGTCAAGTACAAGTTCGTGTGTACCTGCACAATGGATAAGAACGAATCGATTCTGTCCAATGTAGAAGCACGGACAGGAACTCCAATAACAGGTAAAGGTGTAAGTGCAGCTACCATACCTATAATTAAAAACAAACCTTATTAATGTCACTGAGACAGCTGATGTATGTTGGAGAATGATGTTAAATCGTAGTTTCTAAATAACTAGCCTGGTAAATGAGATGCACCACCGGCACCAGCAATGATAACCTGAATGCCTCGCTCCCAAGTAGGGGAGGCATAAGAAAACATCAGTTCAGGGGTCCGGTGCGCTGAGACTATTCTAACCTGCAAATAAATTAATCAATGGAATCAAAGTGGAAAAGCGTCATTTAAAATAAAAATTCTAAGCTATAAAAAGTCTACCTCACTAGACACACCAAACGTATCTAAGATCCTTGCTGCATCCTTCATAACTGGAACATCTGAATCAGAACCAATTATGATCCCAACATGTGGCGCAACTGCATTTAGCAAAAAAAGGAAAGCAACATGTATTTAAAATGTTAGTAGCACCAACCAACCATAGTTTCTAATCTCTATGCAGTTCAGTTTCAGTTATGTTGGGCATATTTCTGACTGGATCTTTCATTAAATTTGCATTCAATAGGAGTAACAAAAATCAAACAACTAACAATGAAACTAAAGTCCAACCATCAGCTCTAGGCCAACTGACATTCACTCTGATTTTCAGAACCTTCTTCCTTCAGCATTGACTTCAGTCGTGCTTCCAAAACACCAATAGAACGGCCAACAAGAATTATATGACCCATCCTCCTTTGCCTTCACATTTCTAGAAAAATCATCATGACAGTGTGTGTATGAGAGAAGAATGAGCCTGAAGAAACTTGAAACAAACGTATCCTGGCTTATCATACCGATGAACAGTTGCCCCTGGAATCCCCAGCGCCCTTGCTATAAGTTGATGAGCCATTTTGAAACCAGGCTCCCCCTGAAACCATAAATTTTTTTCACATAGCTCAGAACTTGGTCAAATATTCCATGTCCCCGAGGACAAGGAAAACAACAAACTTTGATAAATAATTACTCATGCACAAAGTAATTTTAGATTATCATAAGAAACACAAAAGAAGACAGACATGGAAATTATGGAGAAGGAAAAGAGAAGGAACTAACCTCATTCTCACCCAGTAGATTGTACGTGATAGCAGTTGGAGTTTTCATGGATGGATCACCAAGAGGAAGACCAACAAAAGCCCCCAAACGCTGTTCAAACTGTTATGTATAGCAGGACTCAATTGTGTGATGCCCACTATTTTGAGGTCTGGGAGCTACTTCATTCAGTAGAATCTAGTTGAAACAAGAATAGGTCAGTCAGGCAGGAATTGCTAAATCATGTTGGCCATGTATGAGTGGAATTACAAATTGATAAAGATAGCAGATCTGCACCTGACTGTCCTTCGTTAAAAACAACGCCACTGCAAAGACACCAGCACCTTCTAATGAACTAATAGCTTTGTATGCAACATCATTTGCAAGTTTTCTGATCTTCCATGGCACATTAGCAGGTGCCTTAACAATGTGACATATGTTTTCCCTATAAGAACCCACAAGTTTACAATCATATCTAAAGACTTGCAGAGCTCCTCATATGTTAATAACATCACATAAATGAAATTCAGATGAAGAGAAAAGAAAGGTCAATGACTAGTAACAAGTAAAAACTGAATGTCTTACTTGTGAATAGTTTCAACAACTGGATAGCACAAGATAGAGTTGTCTCTTCCTCTTGCTACAATGACTGCCAACTCCTAAAAATAATATCAGTTTAGTTCAGAACCATATCTATACTCAATAATAATCATCTGTATATATCATAATCAGGCAGTTTGGAACATATCCCAGCAAACAAAAGCATTACGTTGTCAATAATATATAAGTGAAAAGATCATGAAGCAAAATAGATAATAAAAAAGACAATGGTACATTCAAGACATATACCTTCACAAAAGGAGCCCATTTCTCAACATACAAGCCCCGATCAAATCCACCAAGAGCTGCAGTCAAAATGAAAATTCTTCAAAATGGAACAATGAAAAGAAGAGTTTACACTCCAAGTTGCAAAATGGACTTCAAGAGATAAAATTTGAAAGACAAAAGGAAGAATAAGGAACTGGCTGGAGGTCAAAATCAGATTTACTAAAGAAAAGGAAAGAAAAGAAGACAACTTCTCTAGTCTCAAATGAAAACCACCATATGAACATCTGCATCAAACTAAAAGGACACTTCTATTAAATACAGTCAACACATATATAAATTGCAGCTGAGATGAGGCCCGACAGATTTGGAATGGTCAAGGAAACTATAAGGCCACAAGCAACATTTTGGTCTTTTGCATATATTTAGGGAAATCCTATGACTTCAAAAAAAGAAAAAGCCATTATAAATTCAAGTTAATACTTAGAAGCTATAAAAATCTCCTTTTTAATAGCAACTCCCTTACCAGCTATTGCAGAAGGAAGCTCCTCTTCACTCTTTGCAACAGCATTTCCACGCCCATCATAGGCTAATCTCTTGTTCTTATCATAAGAGGATAGCCAAATAGGTCACCTGCTCTCTTGGCTCCTTCAAGACCATCAATCTGTTTATCCATATATAGAAATCAATAATCCAAATAATAATGCAAACTCAATAGCTAGCCTTCAAACTCCTTAAAATAGAAGACAACCTCCACAAACTTAGGAAAGGGAATGGCATGCTGGGAAAAATGAACTTTCTGGAGATATTTGTCCTGTAAAATAGAAAATACACATACAGCTTCACAAATTCATCTGGAAAGCAAAATTATGTATTACATAAAACAGAGAACTAGAGCAACTTAGCAACCTTTCAAGCATCAAAGGAAGAGGAAAAATGATGCAACTTATTACAGACATTTGTGAAGCTTGCGACAAAACAATTCCGAGTAAACAAGCCTACTCAGGAAATTACTTGGATAATTCGAATGGTAGAAGCTCTAGGTTCACAATCCACTCCTTGTTGCTCAAGTTTCTCTAGAGTGGCAACATCCACCTGTTCAATTTCAACCGTCAAAACTCCACATCTAACTTCCGAGAAACAGATTATGAATGTAAATACTTCATTTCTAACAAAGAAAGACCATAAATTCAGTTTTAAATTTGAACATTTTCGCGAATTCTTTAACAGTAGCACTATCATCAAAGCTTCCAACCATGTGATCATAAGCAATGGCACTGGCCGGGCAATTCTCTGAAGGGTCCAAAACCATGACTTTGATGGCCAATTTGGAAGCTGCTTGGCATAACATACGACCCAATTTGCCTCCTCCTAATACACCAACAACCATTTCGGATAGTCCATGAACTGGGGAATCATCATCCTTCGTACATAAAAGAAAAAAAACATAGAAGCAAGTTCTAGTCAAAGAAGTCAAATTTGGTCCTACATAATAATAATAATAATAATAAAAACATTTGAATGTAAATAATTTACAATAACAAAAAAGACCCAAAATTTATGTTCATTCGTTTCATTGGAAACACATAAAGGCAAGGAAACAAGAGTTAGAAAATGAATTATAAATTGCAAAACACCTGAAAGGGGAGATGGTCTCGTCAGAGTCACGTGAGGGGCGGCAAGCGAGGATGGAATTGGAGAACTTGGAAGTAGAAGTGTGACGGAGTTGAAGCTTGTGGGGGTGATGGTCGTCGGCGGCAGTGGCCATGAAGAATAAGCCGAGTGGGAGAGTTGTTGGTGGCGGAGAACGAAAGTGAGATGGTCTGAAAGCAAATACTGATTCATTGGTGGAACCCGAAAACACAGCGTTTGAGCTCTGTCGGAGCATCTCCTTTGTCTTTTTCTTGTCACTTTCACTGGATTTTTTCTTTCACTTTCTTAGGAAAATTGATCAGAGACAGAGAGAAGAGAGTATTGGATGCAAAGAACAACAACTGCACCACTACTTCCGTTCCTACTCCACCTGTCTGTCCCATGGGCTCCTTTTTTATATATATATCTTTTAAATTCTGTGATCTGCCTCTAATAAAAAAAATGTTTTATTCTTTTATTGTAATTTCCTTTTTAAAATTTCAGTTCATGCATTAAATATATTATTAGTACCCTTTTTAATAGGTATTTCATAAGCAGGATGGAATAAAGTTTGGATAATTAGAAACAACACTTATTTTCTTTTTTTTTCCTCCAAATATTACTCCTTTAACTGAATTGTAAAAAAGATTGACCTTTAAAAATGTTTATAATTCCATACACGTTTTATGTAAATTTTTATGCTTTAAAAATTATTTTTTTATTAGAATTGAAAATTAAAGATAAAATCATAAAAAATTGACAAATTCCAAGATAATGGATGATGTTAAAAAAATTGTTGTTTGAACTCTTAGTGTGTGATGACATTTAATAAATTTAAAAGTTAAATCTAATAATTGTAATTTTTTTTATCCTTGAATTATGACATTCTTTGTACTAAAAAAAATTATTTGCATTAAGAAAAAAAGTTTTTTTTTTTTTTTTGGTTTTTTTAACAAAAGAGGCCAAAACCTACTAGAATAGGAGAAGGGGAATGGCAAAAAAAAGTTTTCCAGCAAAACATTCACATTCAGGTAAAATATGGGGATCAAAATTCTGAATAATCAAGCCAATCAATAGCAAACTTTGTAATTGATGATATGTTCTGATTTACAACATTATTGGGTTGATTGATCATTTCAACCTTAGCTTTACACTCAACAGCACACCTTGTACAAAATGCAATCACTAGAGATAAAAAAAAAAAAAAGGGACTTCAAACTCAGACTACCAAGAGAAGAATAAAAAGGAAATGGGAATAAAACAAAGAAATAATTTCACCAACTCCATTTTTGATGGTATGCAAAATAAATGTCAGCTAGCTATGGAAACCCCCTGGAAAAAAAGAAGGGGGGGAATAAAGGGAAACCATACTGTATAAATCATGTCCTATATTATGTTCTGCCTGTGAAGAAAACAATCTCTGCAATTCTGTACATTGATGGCCACTCTTCATCAACTGGTCACCTTTATAATGTTTGTACATAAAGGCTCAAGGAATGAATTCTTCATGCTACCCTTCTTCATAACCTGACAATGGATTCTTCATGGTGCCCTTGTTTGTCTCTGAATGACTGATCTGTTTCTTCAACTCTAGAGCAGATATTAGGTTCATTGCTAACTGGCTCTTTGTGTATGCTTGCCCTTTCCCCAATCCCATTAGCGTCTGAATTATCCACTGTGCCCTGTCTTGCTTTCAAATCATAGGCTGACTTCATTATCTCCGCTACCATTTCATTGGGGAACTTCATCCTGTAAAACTCTAGTTCAGCTTCCAGGTCTTGAATCTCTTTCTCTTTGTCTGCAAGGAGGTCATTTGTTTTTTGCAGTGCTTCCATATCATACTCGGCTTGTTCTTCCATCATTCTGAGGTTCTGCAAGGCTTCCATGTGGAGTGTTGCCTTCTCCTCCTGCAGTCGAGTAATCATGGCCATTGCTTGATTTGCAGCAACTGCAGATGCATTTCTTTCTTCTTCCAATTCCTTATACAAAGTGCTCAACAATTTCCTGTCATGCTCAACCTGTCGTTTTAGCCTATCAACCACACTTTCACCTTCGATTTCACTAACAATGCTTCCATCTATAGACAAACCAGACTCATTTCTCTCAAGGGAGATCCTCTTTTGAAGTATCTGTATTCCATTAAATGTTGAAGAATCTGAAGCCTTGAATTCGTCACTATTTATAGATATCCTAGGACTTACAGCAATCTTAGGACTTACATCGCTCATTGATTGCTCCAGCCCTCTAGTGGCAGATAACTGTGACAATAAGACCCTTAGATCCTCGCTAAGTCTAGAAGAATCTTTTCCAATCCATTGTTCAACAAGCAAACCAGACAATTGCCTTCCTCTACTACCTACAGCTAACTTATAAGCATCGCTTAGATCCAATGGATTGGGTAATAGGATGCTAGTGTCACTTGCAACATGGTTGCTTTCGACTGGTGATTCAGGTATTGGAAGCGGATGTTCTCTCAATTTGCAGATTTCCTCGCATTCTGTAACAGATTTCTTCTCAACTTCAAGAGTTCTCATAACACCTAGTGACATAAATATTAGATAAATAAAAAAGGTCACAGAGATTAACCATAACATGCAAGTTGTTTGGGGTATCAAAGCAGCTGATAGAAATCAAACAAATAAATACAAGTAGGATGGTTATTTCTGCAAGAACAAAGCATCCAATGTAATTGATATTTGAGAATTTATAATTCCAAAACTTCTCAGGGACTTCCTTTTGGAAAATAATACCTTAATTTTGGAAATGCATCACACACATCTTGAACCTTATAGCATTTATTTATCGCACCTCAAAATATTATAGCAGAAATAAACTGAAGGTTCTTCAGAATGCACATTTGAACCAAGGAAGACATATACGGAAAAGTCATTACATAAATCAAAACAAAAATGTTTTTTTTTTTTGGTTGTCCACAAAATTTGTTTTTTATGCTCTGCATATGTAAAACCACTCAACTTAATTCAGTAATAAAACAAGCAAGAAATCGAAATAATGGATTCATCTCATACCAAAAATCAAGGAGAGAATGTGAGAGGAGGCTCACATGCTCACGGCGTCTACAAGCGAAGAGAATATAATGATACAGCACTTTTCAAATTCGTGAAATAAAAATATTCGATAGTTTCAGGTTTTGTTTTCATATGCAAAATTTAACCAAAAAGAAAGAGCAGACAAAATATGAGGGAGTTCGACTTACTATACTCTTCTGATTCTTCAACAGAAGATGCAACAAAATTTGATGGAGAAGCATGATCAATGGAAATAGGCTTACTCTCCTTTGACAATTCAACAGGAGTTTTGTTGCCTAGTGATGATGAAGACACATAATCAAGAGAACTAATCTTACTGTCTTCTGAACCTTGAAAAGGAATTTCACCGGCATTTGACAATGCAGGAACCTTATCAAGGGAATTAAAATTCATTTCCTTTGACACATCAATAGAAACTTCCTCACCCATTGATGATAATTGGACATCATCAAAAGAAATAAACTCAGAAGATGCAGAGGGTTCAGTTTTGCTACTGGCTTGCTTCCAATTAAGTTCCTCCAAGCCATGTCCGCTTGGATCAGTAGATTCCACAGGTTTAGTGCCAAGAGGCTCAATGATGTCTGATTGTGACTGTGAGATGATAATTGAAGGCTTAGGAGCAGAAACAGGATCCATGAATTTCTCTGAAGCAAAATCGTCTGACATAGTAATAGTACAAGACTCTGGCTGCACATGTTGATCCACAATATCTCTTTGTAGATGATCAGTTTGGATAATTAGAGCATCTTCCTCATCACCAGCATCAGTAGAGACTGCAGATTCAGAATCAGAAGTAATCTTAAGCTCTGTATATCCTACATGAGATAAAGGATCAGGCCCATTTTTTCTCTGATGTGTAGCTTTAACTGAAATAAATGCATTGTCACTTCTGTTCAGGTCATCCTGACCATGTTGTACGGAAACTGGTAAAGGTTGATCATATTCAGCAGCCTGAGACACAGTTGATTGTGTCTGTATCAATGTTTTGAAATACCCTTTTGGCATCCATGGCTCATTGCAACAAGAACACTGCCTTATAGTTGACTGCCCAAGTTTATGATTCTCACATGATGGATCCTCCTCAAGAACACAGTCAGAATCTTCCCCCAACTTGCCGACCAATAATCTATAGGTTTCAGCATTAGACATATTTATTGTAGCGAATGAGAAAAGGCAACTTTCACACATTCCATGAACATCAACAAGCTTGTTGTGAGCATGGCAGTAGACTAAGGATGAAATCTCCAACTTATGATCACCACATACCAGATCCCAATAAAATTTCAGTTTTTCATTGCCAAAAACATGATCGAGTCTTGAGCATAGCAAACATGGGGTTTGCAATTTGCATTTATGAGCAAATTTTGTGATTAAGTATGAAATTATAGCATCAATAAAAAGCATAAAAAGCAGCAGCCATTCAAGAAAGGCTGATGATAAAGCTCTAGCAAACCGATGGGAAATTTTCTCTGAGTTAACAGATGAAATCCCCCCACTAGCCATGCCCCAGAAAAGTATGTAACTTCAGAACAAGATCTGACTGCTTGAAACAAAGCAAAGTCCAATCTTCCCAAAATGAAATCAATAATCCAAGGCGAGATTCAATACTGCCAATAAATAAAGATCCACAGAGATATGAGAAAAGATAAAAGGGTAATGGACAAAACTAATAAATCAGCCATTATTTATAAAGAGCAATTTCCATGAACAATAAAACAGTCCAAATTAGAAACTAATTGCTGCAAAGTTCAAAATAATTTATTCCAGGATAAGACCAATGGAGGAACCAGATTTTGAAATGAAAAAATATACCTATAAAAGACAGAGCAGCAACTGCAAACAAGCAAATGTTTCTGCTAAGTAAAATAAAATAATTGCAACTCAGATGCCAATGGATACACTGATGAAGCTATATGTCTGAGTCTCATAGATAAATTTGACATGAAATTCTTCACAACAACATGCATGAATGCCGCTATGCATTTATTAAAAATCCCAGATACCAGTTCTCATGGAAGATCTATGCATGCAAGAGATAGTGGATGACACAACAATAAAGTTCAAATAATGAATTCCAATACAGGATCAATAGCCACAATTGCCAAAATATATCTCAAACAACAAACTAATGAACTAAATTCTCATACTAAAACAAACTCAAGCGTGAGAAAAATGCATTTCTCATAGAAGATTAACAAACCAAATAAAAGATACTAACACCAATACATCTTGCATCAAAAGCTACAAAGGTATATCATCATAAAATGAGATAAAACGATTTCTTTTCTCAAGGAAAATCCAATATCTACAAAAACTATAAATGCATCCAATCAAAACCTAATGAGACAAATTCCGGACAAAAATAAAATTTGAGCTGTCTTACAAGATCAATATAAACCAAAAACATTCACAAAAGGAAGCTACAAAGCATCATTGAAAAAGAATGCAGCATTTCAACGAATAAGCACACAAACAAATAGCATATACCATAAACTGACAAAACAAATTTATAAGAGCAAAACAAATTTATAGCCGTAGACAACAAACTCGTTCCTTTTGATGGATCAACATGGACCATGGATAAAGAACTTTACAAAACCAAAACCATAAGCAATAACACAAAAACATCAGCATGAACCGTAAATCAGAAGCTAAGAAAAAAGTGTAAACTTTCAATCAATACTCACGCACACATGGTCTAATCAAAATCCATCAAAAATCCAAAATTTCTACCAGTAACAATACCACCTCAATAAAACTTAAATCATATTAACATCATTCAAAAACATAAATCGGTTTGTATAAACAAGTCAAACTATGATATTTCCAAGGCAAAAAAGAAAAAGAAAACTTTTATAAGTTGTAAAAAGAGAAAGCTGACCTGTTCATGTGAGAAACTCAAGGAAGAAAACCAAAAAACCACCGAGAATTCAGAGAAAAAGCGTCTAATCAAGGTGACCCATCTTCAAATTCATTACCAAAAACAAAACCCATGTAACAGTTATTGAAGAAAGAGAGACTGAAACGAAACAAAACAAAGTTAAAGTAGTTTTTATATAAACCAAACAGAAAACAACAAAGAGTACACGTTGTATATTATTTTATAAAAGGAAAAATGTTCTTTATAAAAAAAAAAGGGAAAATAAAAAAAGTTGAGAAAACAGCTGACAAAACCCAAAAAGTCGGCTGCTGATTAGAAAATGATAAAAACCGAAAGTAAAAGAAAGACAAAAAAAAAAAAAAAAGCAAAGATTCCAGAGAAAATTCACTGTCAAAAAGCCAAAAACAGTTTTATTTTTATTAAAAAAACCAAAAAAACTGTTTTTAACTTTATTTCTCTCCATTTTTGAGAAATAAATGCTTATGGACGATCAATGGAAAATGGGTTGTTTTTTATTTTCTGAAAAAAACGTTTTTTTTTTGTAGTGCTAATGATAGGTGTGACTTGTAGGTGAAGAAATTATGTGACCGACCAACGGTGGAAAGTTTTGAAGAGGAGACCGACCAATGAGGATAATTGGAAGCTACAAAGATGTCACTGTCGGGAAATTCGGGGGATTGCTTTGATTTGACCGTTAAACCAACTGAAATGTGAAAAATTTTGGGTTTTTTTTTTTTACCAATATTGACCGTTTTGTTTCTTAGTTTTCTCATGGAGGCCCTTCAAATAAAAAAGAAAGAAAATTGCAAAACCGTGTTGAATAGGTCATGAACAGGATCAAGAATCCCATGGGGTTTTTCCAACTTAGCCAATGATTTTATTTTGATTTATTCAATAGGATAATTGAGTATTGTAAATTTGTTTAGGTGTTAACATCCAATCGAATATTAACATAATTAGGAGTTTTTAATAATATTTTTGTGTGTTCCATAAGAGAAAATATGATTTCTAATTTTTCAACTAATAAAAAATGAAAAATCTTGTGCCAAGTAACATTAGTTAAGTAGATTTTTTTTAAGTTTCTCTTGCTATATGTAAAAGAAAATTTTGCCATAGAGAATGCAATTGATTTTTTCTATTAATGGATGTTTGTTAAGGGTTTAGTCCAAAACATCGTGAGGATGCATTGAGAATTCATTCTCACCTACTAATCAAATAAAGCTAAATTAAATGTATAGCCAAATAAATTTAAGGGCATATAAAAAGGAGAAACATTAATTCAATGATTTATTATATGGTGCTTCTAAATCACTTAGTATTAAATGATATCAGAATCTCTTTCTTTTTCATTTTTGTCTAGGCAGCTTCTAACAGGGATCAATAATATGTTCTGTTTTTGGCTCAGAAAATAATATGTTTGGGCAACAAGCAGAGAAAATACACATAAGCAAATGAGATCAAGTAGAGAAAATAGTATTAAGAGCTACAATCACGAGAGAGATCCTCAATAATATATAGTATTTGAAGGGAGCATTCGTATAGGATAAGTGGATAGCTGATTCAGGGCATAATTCACATAAATGACAGAAATAGAACAAAGCATTTACCTGCAAATCTAATACCTAATAAATACTACCTGAACAAGCAAAGAAAGCAAGAATAATTTTGCATAGATGGGACATACCCAAGTTCTATAGCAGCAAATCAGCTTTCTAGAAAATCAGAGCTTAAATTGGTGCTGCACATGTTGTTCTAAAATGACCTGTCTGATTGCAACGGCTACAATGTACAACCCGCTTCACACGGCCACGGTCTTCTGCTCGAACTCGCTTCTTTCGTGGTCGACCGGGTGGCTTAAGTGATTTTGGTGGGTGGATGATAACTTCAACTTTGTTGGCATTTGGATCTCCCTCAGATAACTCTTTCCATAGACTTTTATCTGGAATCGGATGAATGGTTTGAGAATACGTCTTACGATATGTTGCTACAGTGAAACAGCTCTCAGTAAACCGATGAACATTCTGCCTGCAAGAAAGAAGTGCTGCCACAGCATGAGCACAGGGCAAACCATACAACTGCCAGCCACGACAAAGGCAACAGCGATTGCGAATGTCAACAATATTTGTCCCTTCATGAGATATAACCTCAAATTCAGCTTCATTAGCACGAAGCACCTGATATGTGCGTGCACGTTCAAGGGCCTCCGCAACACGCCTTTCAGCAGAAGGCACAAGTATTGATGTCCACTGCATACTTGTCTCTCGCCGTTCACTGAACCAAGTCATAAGCTGCCGCCGTATGCATTCCATCATCTGAATTATTGGAAGCCCTGAAGCTTCTAAAATCCAAGAATTCAGCGATTCAACTATGTTTGCTGTTAGATGCCCAAATCGTGTGCCTTCAAAATAGGCTGTTGCCCACAATCGAGGTGGGATTCTTCGGATCCAATATGCAGCATCTTGTGATACCTCTTCAATCTCAAGAATCTTTGCTTCAAATTCAATTACAGTCAGGGCATGAGCAGCTTCCCATAGAAGGTTGACAAGCATTGTATTATTGAACTCCTTTTGAAAACTTTCACTCAAGTGACGCATGCAAAATCCATGAAAAGCAGTAGGAAAATTTGCTTCAACACCATCTACAATGCCTTTCTGTCTATCAGACAAAATTGTAAGCCTTGGCATGTTTTCTGTATTAATTTCAAGCAGGTTATGAAGTTCAGAGAGAAACCACATCCAGTTGTCATCATTCTCCTCATCAACAACACCAAATGCCAGAGGAAACAGAGCACCATCACCATCAAAACCAGTAGCAAAAAGCAAAGTTCCAAGATACTTACTTTTCAAAAATGTCCTATCTAACCCCAGGAGTGGTCGACAAGCATTCAGAAAACCATAAATTGAGGCCTGAAACGATATGAAGAGACGCTGGAAACAGTTATCTATTAGGTTTCCATAGACATGTGCGATACTCCCTGGATTTGTCCTCTTAAGCTGTTCACAATATTGAGGGAGTAAGCGATACCCTTCCTCGAAAGATCCACGCACAACAGCCATGATACGCTCCTTGCCTCGCCAGGCTTGCTTGTAAGATAAGGTGATTCCATGAACCCGGTGAATCTCTTCCAATATCTCCTTCGGCTTGTAGTTAGGGTTCTCCCTTAATCGCTGCTCCACAGAGTTTGCCACCCACTGCACAGAGGCCTGTTGATGGCCAAGATGAGCAATCCCTCCACATGTATGGTTCTCATGGATGGTCCTGATTGTGAATGTTGGAACACCCGGGAGCTTTGCTGCATGTATGCGCCAGGGACATCCCTCACTCGCACATTTGGCAGTGAAACGAGTCTTGTCAGATTTTATGGTCTGCATTTCAAAGTGAAGGGCAATAGCAGTATCCCTCAATGCCCTACGGCAGCTTATGACATCCGGGAACTCTTGCCCAATTGCCAATTCAAAACATGGATCTGAATTCCGAGCCTGAAGGACAAGAGGGAGACTAACTACAATCTGGGAATGCTGCAAATCTCGGGCAGGATCAATTCCCATCTCCTGGCTGTCATCCACAGCCAATTCCAAGTTGTCATCAAGCTCTTGGTTTTCTGAAACAACCAATGCATTATTCTCTGATAAAGCAAACTCATGGTCACCCTGGTCAGGTTTTTGATCAGTAGCTAACTCGTTATCATGCCCATAACTGTGACCAACATCCCCTTCTTGGTCATGGCTCTGCCCTAAATCCAACTCATGATCATGAGAATGCCCTAAACCTAGGTCATGATCATGGGCCTGTCCCAAGCCTAAATGACGCTCATGGGTTTGTCCTAATTCCAAATCATGGTTCTGGGTGAGCCCCAAATTACGATTATGGCCTATAACCAGTGGCTGATTCTGCCCCAATGCTAACTTGTGGCTTTGTCCAAGTATCAGATCATGGTTAGCCATTGAATAAATCAATCACAGTATAGGAACAACACAACCCGAATATAAAAAATGATAGTCAGGCAGACAGATTTTCCATCTATGTCATCACATACCTGCCAGGTGAAAGACCACCATTACAATACGAAAAAAAGGAATGATCATATGAACATGGAAATCATAGCAAACAGGCTAATCTCTGACAAGTGATTAGCATAAGGTGAGAAGACATGAAGAAATGCATCCAATACGCCTTATTGTTGCAAAATTGCAAATGTAAACCAAAAGGTCAGTTTTGTTTTCTCAATGCTTTCATCTCAATGATCAAAGAAAGAGAGTATACCAATCACAAAAACATAAGCAAATAACATACTGGAATAATGCACATAACACTCAAAGAGCTAATCTTTCACTTCTTGAATAGTGAACAGTGAAACCAGTAAGGAGTCGTCAATTACGTCCAAGAAAACATTTAGTCTTGGAAACTCCAGCTACACCAACCAACATAAGGAAGAAAACAATATACATAATGAACAGAAAGAAAAGCCAAATATTAAGGAAATGAATAACCAAATAAACACATAGACTTAACACCAATTAGAATTTTATATAATATGTCAAAACAAACCAAACCAATTAAAGTTTGTGCACGTATCTCTTAACCAGACATAAGTTCAACTTCTGACAAATCCACACAAATAGCTAACATTTCACTTTCCTTCTCCCTCAGTTCCAACTAACCAAATATAAGTTCCCATTTCATACATCCTTCCCAAAATATGGGGAAAAAACTAGAAAAGAGAAAGCCTTCAAGCAGCTACCACTTGGAAACTCATCTAAGATATTAAGCTAGCACTCTGAAACTAAACTAACTGAATAAAATACCAACTTTAAGACAAAATAAGAAATACCCATCAATCAAAGCACCATAAAAATCACTAAAAATTTCCTAAAACAGAAACCGGCAAAGACAGAGAGGGAAAAAAAAGTTGTAAGCAGCTTGATTGAAAATCTTCAAAGTTAACAGCTTTAAAACACTTCAACTAAAAATAAATTAAAAAAAACCATCAAATTAACAAAAATAAGAATACCCATCAATTGAAAACATTCAAAACAAAATACCCACAAAGGAAATCCGCAAAAATGAAGATTAAAATACCTGGATTAAGAAAAAAAAACCCGAACTGGAAACCTTAACTCAAAAACAAAATGACCTCAAAACACAGTAAAAAGAGCTTCAAGAAGCCCAGAAACGAAGTGGGTATTGGCCAAAAACACAAGAAACAAAGCGTACAAGCGAGAAAACACCCCGGAATTGAAGAAGAAACTAGGGTTTTAATTGGTAACCAAATCAGTTAGGAGTTTGCAAAGAAATGAAGAGGAAGGAAATTTTGAAAAGTGGGGAATTTATTTGTTTTGGCGGGTAAAATTGAGAAGGGCAAGGCAGGGATTGTTCCGGGAGAAAATCGGGAATTAAGGAGAAAGGGGGTTAGGGAAGGGCAAAGGGGAGATTGAGGAATTACGGGGGCAGAAGAGGCAGAGTGGGTGAAGGGCATGAGAAATACAAAGTTTAGCCAGAGGTTGAGGGTATTTAAGTCAAAATAGGTCGGACTTTGGGATGTTCTTTCATTCTTTGGGGAGGATTTTGGAATTTTTTGGCCCTTTTTTTTTTTTTAAAATTAAATCCAAGGGCATTAACTAAAATAAGGAGGATTTTAGAAGATTTTAATTTTAGGGTGAGTGAAAAGTGAACTCAATTAATATTTGGAAATTTCAATTTTGGGTTTTTTTGCAAAAATTAAGTAATAAAAATATATAAAATATTTTTAAATTACTGTCTCTATTTAATATTATTTGTTAATTTGTTCATGTAAATTTATATTTTTGTAAAAAAATTTGTTTCTTTTTTTTTTTTTTGAGTAAATTTATAATTTTAGTCGAGTAAAAATGAAGAGATGAAGAATTTTGTCAATAAATTTCATGCAAAAAAAATTTATAAAACAAGTTGATCGTGACATAGTACTAGGCTATAAAAAATTCCAAATCCAATAGGCTATAAGAGTTCTAGAATCGTAACATTATAATTACTAAATCATAACATTTCACTATGATATTCGATATTATATAATTAATAAAAATTTTACATGAATACACATAAACACAAACATATATATATATATATATATATATATACACATATACACACACATATTACACTCATTAACAAGAATTTATTTCACATCTTTCATCATATGCTTAATTTAATTACTGCCACCAATTTCATTTCACCAGTATATCAATCACGTTATCAAGCTTCTCGAACATTGGCCTCCGTCTCGTTTCGTTCTCGTTCTCGTTCTCGTCCTCGTTCGTCTTGCGCTTGGCAGACAACTCAAGATTTTCCGTTGGACTTGGTAGTAATATTTTCTGTGGATGTTTTGGCTTGCTTGTTTTGAACACATGCATGTCTTGACCTCTGTCGATGGTACATTCCAAACTTGCTAAGCTGCCTCTCCTTGCAGCGCTGAATCCCATCCAACACTGCATTTTTCATGTTAAAATCTCGATTTGATCGAATTTTAAAACTTTTTTTATTTTAAAGAATAACAAAACAATTTGAGACAGAAAGAGTATCGAAGCTTATAACTCGAACGAACCTTTTCATTAAGGGTAAGATCTTCATTCAACCGAATCATGTCCAAAACCCCAAGCCCTTTCTTGTTGGCAATTGCCTTATCAACCCTTTTATCCCATTTGAATAACTCAAATATCGATTGATATCCTTGGATTGCAGCTATATGCATAGGGGTATTTCCTTCATTATCTTGCTCATTTACAAGACCATCCGAAAGCTTTGTCTTTAAAATGTACTTGACCGCTCGAGTCTCTTCATTTTCAACAGCCAAGTGAAGCGCTGTCCGGCCTTTGTTATCTTGGATATCCCAGATGTCAGGGCATAATTTTGCTAGTATTTTCAGTATTTTCACTCTCCCTTCTTTGGCAGCAACATGAAGGATGGTCATGCCTTCTTTGTCTCCAATGCTTGCAATTGAATCAGGGGAGGATATTGGTTTCTCGTCATCGGATTCATAGGTCAAAAACAGTTTGAGAATGTTCGATTTGCCTAAGAACGCTGCGTAATGAAGAGGAGTCCATCCGTAGTCATCGACTTTCAGGATTCCTGACGCATGTTTTTCCAGCAAGCCTTTGATGAAGGCTATAAGCAAGCAAAATGATACAAAAAAACAATCATATATAGTGCATATCATGTGCAGATGCTAATGTAATTATGCTTGTTCTCTACTAATTAAAACAGAATTGAAATGTTTCATCAAATTACCTGTATTTATGCGGCTAGGCCAGACCAAATTAATCAAAATAAAAGGGATATTGAAGAGATTCATGAAACAATTCAAATCGGCATAAGCTTTCAGGTCGGCTATTGCTTGGGGAGGATGTTCCAAAATAAGCGTTGCCAAATATGGAAATAATTTTCGAACTATAAAGCAAAAAACAAGTAACAAAGTAAGATAATCAAGAATTAACCAATATATATTAATGCGTGCATGCACGTACATATACTTATAAAAAGGCTTTATGATATATTTGATGATACGATTCATACGAATGACAAAAAGATAGAATAAAAAGAAGAAAAAGTACTATCTAATTTGTTTTTACCAAACAATATAAGAAATTTGTTGGTAATATAACGACTATATGTAGACACAGATCACCTTCACTTTTTGAGCGGACAACAGCAGCATGCAAAGCATTCATGTTGTTCCTTCCATCAAAAGAGCATTGATCAACTTGTAAGATCAGTTTAGCAATATTAACAAATTTTCTATCCACAGCCAGAAAGAGTGGGGATTCCCCAGCATTATTTGTAAACTCAGCTAATTCTGGGTCTTCTTTGATTAGCATCTCCACAACTCTATAATGGTAATTTTTCACAGCTTCGTGTAGTGCTGTTTCTTTCTCCAAATTCACCATTCTTAGTAGCTTTTCCTCTGTTAATGCTCCTTCAACTACTTCTCGACTCGCCGACGGCGTCTTATTCCAAAAATCTATGAAGAATTCAACCGCCTCTTCACTGCCTAACCTTGCTGCAATGTGTAATGGAGTGTCACCTTTTGAATTCCTTTGATAAACAAGTGATGGCTGCAACTTAAGGATCTCTTCAGCTAATTCCTTCTGTTTGAATTTGGCTGCAACATGAAGAATTGTGTCTTCTTGAGATATTGTTACCTTGAGAAGGATACTTGGATCCAATTTTGTTAATTCATTGAAGGGATTTTTATCACCTGACATAACAGCTTTGTATAGTTTAGGATCCATTTTCTATCAGCTTCTCAGCTTAGTAAAGGGTGCTATTTGCACTCTGTCTCTCAATTTAATATCGAGAAAGGGTGCTTCGGGTTGGCTGTGGGAATTCTATTGATTGGGCAAAGAATTTATGTTGGGGTGCACATCTTTTTTATAAATAAAATTGTAGTTTGAAATAAAAAAAAATTATAAGTATTAAAATTAAAATTAAATATTAATTTTTAAAAATGATCATGTGAACCAATTAAAATAAATTTGGATTTTAATTATGGATGCACATCGTTTATTCCTTTATCATGTCATTCATTTTCCAACTAGGAGGAAAATTTGCACGCGAGTCATCATGTTGGGGAAAATTGCAACGCGAGATTTCTATTGAAAGAGTATGGGGGGATACCACTACCATGTGCTTTATATCCATCACAAATATTTCGTGGGTTTCCGTTTTTCTCATGATTTTTATTTTGATAAAGGGCTCTGCCCCTATTTGACTATCTCCTTCCTCTCTTATCGTTTCAGTTGGCAAAATTACATATTGATATTCAACCTTCATTGTTTCATTTCAAAGGTTTGTTGCACGTATATATCGATCACAATCAGGACTAACTAGAAGCTGGTGGTGATGGTGGTTTTTTTGGTTGGTGCACTTAAAATTTTTGATGGTGCATTTGGATATAGTGGAGAAATGCAATGAAAAAGGATAGGTTAGAATTGCAGAAAGAGTTGGATTATGGTCCCCGTTTACCCCAAAGTTTATTTGCAACAACAACCCAAGAGCTGTTGCGCCTGAAGCAATAATCACAACAATACAGAAGCAATAGACAACAATCAATAATCAAATGTACAGGAAAAATAAAGCACACCAAGATTTACGTGAAAAACCCTCCAGTGTAGAGGGAAAAAACCACGGGCCACCAGAAAAATCTTCACTATCAAATAATAGTTATACAAAGTTCTTCTCTAGCTAAAACTAGAGCTAATCAACAACTAGAGAAACAATTGGAGAAATCTCACCAAATAAGTGACTCAACAAATACACCATGGATTTGTTCCTAGAGAGCTTCAAACCCGATTTTCACCGTTCAGAATGTAGAACTCTGAATTATAAACCTCCTGACAAGGTTCCAACTTAATCGGACCACGGATTGACTTCCGTTTAACCAACTCTCCCTTCTCTTTTTTCTCTCTCTGCTTTTCCTGGCTTTTCTTCTTTTTCTGCTTGGTTTTCGACACACACATAAAACAACCCCACCTCTTTTTTATTAAGTAGCTAGGGCTCTGTGTAAAATAAAAGATCAAGGCCCATGGCCTTTACTTGGTCCAAAACCACTGACATGGGACTGGACCTCATTTTCCTAACAATCTCCCCCTCCAGCCCCATTAGGAGGAGATTCATCACCATAGTAGTTTCATTTGGAACTTACCTTGGTCAAGGAACTCATTCCGGCCAAGTTATGACAAAGCTCAAGTTTTTCCCTGGGAAAGTATCTTAGTCAACATATCTGCCACATTTTTATCAGTATGAACTTTTTTTAATAGCATCTGTTGTTCTTCAATCACTGAACGTAACTAATGATATCTAACATCAATGTGTTTTGTTCTAGCATGGTACATGGTATTCTTATTCAAATCTAAAGCACTCTGACTATCACAAAATACCACATACTCTTTCTGATTCAACCCCAATTCAAGAAGAAAACGTTTCATCCAAAGCATTTCTTTACATGCTTCAGTTGCTACAATATACTCAGCCTCTGTAGTTGACAAAGCAACACACTTCTGTAACTTAGACTGCCAAGATACAGCTCCTCCTGCAAAAGTGAACAAATACCCTAAAGTAGATTTCCTACCATCAAGATCGCCTGCCATGTCAGCATCAGTAAACCCTTATAGAACTGGTTGTGAAACTCCATAAGTCAAGCATATTTTTGAGGTACCCCTCAAATATCTAAAAATTCATTTCACTGCTTCCCAGTGAACCTTCCCTGGATTAGAAAAAAATCTGCTCACTACACCAACTGCATGAGCAATGTCAGGCCTTGTACAAACCATAAGATACATTAAAAAACCGACTGCAAAAGAATAAGGAATACTAGACATAGCTAGTTGCTCTTCCTTAGACACTGGACAAGATTTCTTACTTAGATGAAAATGGTTGGCAAGTGAACTGCTAACTGATTTAGCATGTTGCATGTTAAATCTACCAAGCACTCGTTCAACATACTTTTCCTGTGACAACCACAGTTTTCCAGTTTTCTTATCCTGGATAATGTCCATACCAAGAATCTGCTTTGCTGAACCTAAATCCTTCATATCAAAGGACTTAGATAATTGTTCTTTCAACCTGTAAATCATACTAGCATTTTGTCCTACAATCAACATATCATCAACATATAATAATATGATAATGAAATTACCATTAGAGAATTGTTTAACATACACATAAGAATCCGCTGCTGTTCTTTTATAGCTATGACTCACTATAAAAGAATCAAACTTCTTGTACCACTGTCACAGAGCTTGTTTCAAGCCATACAAGCTTTTCTTCAATTTGCAAACTAAGTGCTCTTTCTCTTTCACTTCAAAACCCTCAGGCTGATTCATATAAATGTCCTCCTGTAAATCACCATGCAAAAATGCAGTTTTAACATCAAGTTGCTCAAGCTCAAGATTCAAACTAGCTGCCAATCCCAATACCACTCGAATAGAACTCATTTTTACAACTGGAGCAAAAATCTCATCAAAATCGATGCCTGGTTTCTGAGAAAAACATTTTACTACCAATCGAGCTTTGTACCTCACTAGTTTGTCACCATCCTTTTTCAACTTGAACACCCATTTATTCTTTAATGACCTCTTCTCTGTTGGAAGTTTAACAAGATTATAAGTACCATTCTTTTGCAATGACTCCATCTCTTCTTTCATTGCTTTTAACCAGTGCTCTCTATCCGAAGTAGCCTGCACATCTTAGAAGCTTTCTGGCTCCCCTTCACTGGTAACTAAAATAAAATTTAAACTTGGATACCTGGTAGATAGCCTATGCTCTCTAGTAGATCTCCTGGGCTGAGACTCTATATCACTTGATGCCGAAGGTAGCTCTCCCTGCTCAACACTCTCAGGTAGAGAGGATTGCTCCCCCTGCTCAAAACTAATAGCATTTGGCTCATCACCAACTGTGGCTGGCTCATTCATATCCCCAAGTTCTGTTTCTTGCTCATTTTCACCATCTATGGCTTTTCTCTGTGAAATCTCTGTCGGTGTTGAAATATCACACTTAACAGTAACTCGTGTAGTCTTTTCATTTTTCTCAAGGTCTGCTATAGTTTCTTTTTCATGAAAGACTACATCCCTGCTTTTGATTGTCTTTCTCTTTACTGGATCCCATACCCTGTAGCCAAATTCCTCATCACCATATCCTACAAACACACACTGTGTAGCTTTACTGTCAAGCTTTGATCTCTGCTCTTTCGGCACATGCATGAATACTTTACACCCAAAAACTTTCAAGTGAGAGTATGAAGTATCTTTTCCTGTCCACACTTTTTCTGAAATGTCAAAGCCCAAAGGAACTGATGGTGACCTGTTAAGTAAATAACAAGCTGTGTTGACTGCTTCACCCCAGAATGACTTTGGTAATTTTGCCATCCTCAACATACATCTGACTTTTTCCACAATGGTGCGATTCATTCTTTCAGCTATACCATTATGCTGCGGTGTTCCAGGTTCTGTCCTCTTATGCCTGATCCCATGCTTTGAGCAATACTCTTCAAAGCTTTTAGATGTGTATTCCCCATCATTATCAGTTCGAATACACTTCAAGGGTAACCCTGTCATCTTTTCAATCATGGCATGAAATTTTTGAAAATACTGTAGTACCTGACTTTTGTATTTCAACATATACACCCAAGTCTTACGTGAAACATCATCAATAAAAGTAACAAAATATCTGCTACCACCTAATGACTCAACCTCAATGGGACTACATATATCAGAATAAATTAATTCCAATATATTTTCTTTTCTCTGAGAACTTTTATGAAAAGAAACTCTATGATGCTTACCAAACAAACAATAATCACATGAATCGATAGACATACCTTTGGTCAAGGGAATGAGAGAGTGCCTTGCCAAAACTTGTAACCCTTTTTCACTCATGTGTGTCAGCCTCCTGTGCCACAAGTTTGTTGAAGTATCATTTTCAACGGTATTTACTTGGTTACCGTTCAATTGCATCCATGTCTTATACATTGTGCAACATAGTTTTTCCCTTGCAACTACCATAGATCCTTTGAGAAGCTTCCACTGTCCATTCTTTTGTCGACTTTCATATCCCTCCTTATCAAAGACATTAATAGCAAGCAAGTTCATTCTCATATCTGGAATGTGTCTGACATCCCTCAAAGTCAACATGCAGTCTGTACTAGTTTGTACAATAATATCACCAATTTCAACAATCTGTGATACACTCTTGTTTCCCATCTTGGTACAACCAAAATCTTCTGCTTTGTAAGTTGTAAACAACTCTCTCTTAAGAACACAATGATATGTCGTTCCTGTGTCAACTATCCACTCAATGCCGGGATCACTAACATGATTACAATCACCATGTGTACAAATCAAAGTAACTGAATCACTATCTGAATTCACTGCTGTAACATTACTATCATCTGAACTCTTACCTTTCTCATCTTTTCGCTCTTGCTTTAAGATTCTACAATTTCGTTTTATATGACCAGCCTTACCACAATGGAAACATTTTACTTTACCTCTAGACTTGGATCTATGTTTAGACTTACCATGACCTTTTGAGTTCTGACCTCTGTCGATGTTTCTACCCCTGTTCTCTATGACCAGAGCTTGATTTCCAAGGTCTACATCTTTTCGCCTTACTTCTTCATTAAGCATACTATCCTTTACCATCTCCAATGTCACCTTATAATCAGGAGCTAAATTAAGAACAGTCACAACTAGAGTATTCCAGCTATTTGGCAATAAACCCAAAAGAAATAATGCCTTCATTTCATCATCCATCTTAAGCTCCATAGTAGTCATCCGATTAAATATATCTTGAAAATCACTCAAGTGTTCTGTAACAGATCGTCCATCCCTGTACTGTAAAGTTGCAAGCTTTTTAACAAGCATAACTTTATTCATACCTGTTTTTCTCTCATACAATGCTGCCAAATTTTCCCAAACAATGTGAGCATCTGACTCCTGCGCTACATGATGGAACACGCTGATATCAACCCATTTTTTGATTGTAGCCAGCGTCTTTCTACCTAGCTTCTTCCAACTTTCATCTTTCATATCTGCTGGTTTAGCTGAATCACCCAATACTGGCTCACACAAATCTTTGCAGTATAGATGATCCTCCATCATAGGCTTCCAAATTGAATAATTCGATGCTATCAATTTTATCATGGAACCTATATCACCTTCCATGATCTCAAACAGAATTTACTTCTATCCTGGGTTGCTTTTGTATCGATGTCTCAAAATAACCCTCGCTCTGATACCACTTGTTGCGCCTGAAGCAATAATCACAACAATACAAAAGCAATAGACAACAATCAATAATCAAATGCACAGGAAAAATAAAGCACACCAAGATTTACGTGGAAAACCCTCCAGTGTAGAGGGAAAAAACCACGGGCCACCAGAAAAATCTTCACTATCAAATAATAGTTATACAAAGTTGTTCTCTAGCTAAAACTAGAGCTAATCAACAACTAGAGAAACAATTGGAAAAATTTTACCAAATAAGTGACTCAACAAATACACCTTGAATTTGTTCCTAGAGAGCTTCAAACCCGATCTTCACCGTTCAGAATGTAGAACTCTGAATCATAAACCTCCTGACAAGGTTCCAACTTAATCGGACCACGGATTGACTTCCGTTTAACCAACTCTCCCTTCTCCTTTTTCTCTCTTTGCTTTTCCTGGCTTTTCTTCTTTTTCTGCTTGGTTTTTGACACACACATAAAACAACCCCACCTTTTTTTTATTAAGTAGCTAGGGCTCTGTGTAAAATAAAAGATCAAGGCCTATGACCTTTACTTGGTCCAAAACCACTGACATGGGACTGGACCCATTTTTCTAACAAGAGCAGGCCATGGAGGAGTTGTGACTGGTTTTATATTCTGGGTCCCCACCAATTTCTGAAAGCCCTGCTTCGGGGCTAGCTAGCTGGTGAGATTGAAATCCCTGATCAACTGACTAGCAAAACTAATATTTTCCTATTTTTTCGTCTAAACGATGCAATTGGATAAAATTTTTTTTTGGAATAATTGACAATAAAATGGTAGAACCTTTTTTTTTTTCGTTTAAACATACATTAATGTTTAATTACATTGTGAATGTCTCATCAGAAAAGATCTATTTGAGGAGAATATTGTTAGATTAATAAACGTGCATGCAGATAATTTACATTAATCATGCATTATACATAATTGCAGCAATATTTCTTTGCAGAATAGTCAGTGCTTCATCATGACAAGTATTGATGGATATGATCACTATGGAGTTGGAGAACAAAAGAATTGATAGAATCAACTTGAGCATACATCTTTTCGTGATCCACCATTTGGTGGATCAATGATCATTGTAGATTTTGTAAGATTAAAACAGATCTGACAATCGGCAAAAAATGGCGAGTGGGAGATATTTGTGCGTTGTTTTGGTTAGGCAGATAAAGGGAAATTCTTCTGGAATGTCAGGCTTTGGATGTGCATGTATTGAGAGTGGGTTAGGTGAATGAAGGGGAAAGGCTGGACTGGTAGAAGTTTTAAGGTGGATAGAATTTGTGTTGAGGAGGGGAATGTTAGCCAATATCTTTGATTCTTTGTTGGAAACAGTGGAGAGATTGCACCCTGGACTTTTGGTTGTGTAACGAAAAGTTTTGTTTTCTCTATGAAAAGAAGACTGGTAGCTTTTAGAATCTTTAGTGTACATTATCTTCTGAACAAAAATCTTTACATCATGCACAAATAAGGAAGTTTAATGGTTTGAAACATTAGTCCAATTGTCCCCTACTATTTCACTGGCAAGTCTTGCCTTGCAACTAACATTCCACTTTCAACAGCATTTGAAGAGCTGTTCTGCCTTTTATCTGTGCAAATCCCAAATTTCTGATAGCATTTTCAAAATTTTTTGACAGCAAATGGAGGATGGATATGCTTTTGGTTGATCATTGTTCTTATATGTCAAAGGCAGTTGGAGAATGGAGAGTGGCCCCTTTTCCAAAATGTGCTGCATGATCGTGAGGAGACTCATGGCAATCAGTTTCAAGATTGCAGATGGATATTTTTCTTTTCAAGGCCACTGTGCTAAATAATTTTCTGTTAAAGAATTGTTCATAGATTAAGGCCTTCTTATTATTGTAGTGAAAAAATGGAATCTGAATATGGAATTAATATCTTTAATGCTACTGAGATAAAGTGTGTCAAAGTGAATAAATTGAAGTACTTCAAGTGTTTCATTAAGTGTTTTTGCAATCAAACAAAAACGTATTTATTAAAAGAAAATAGAACTTTTAAAAATTCACAGATAGTAAATCACACTGCATTTATTCACAAAAAACAGAAACCAGAATGTCACAAATATGTTCGTGTTACATAGTTTTGACATTTATTTGAGATATACAAGAAGTTGAAGCCCAAAAAAGGAACATCCAATTGAAAGAACTGCTTTAGCCAGCCCGGGAGAATCGCCTAACGCTGCATAGGTGCCTGAAACGAAAGCTATGACCATTGCAGTAATACCATAACTTGTTAATAATGACGTGATATATGTGTAGAATGCAAGGACATCAAGCTTTTCTACAAATGACTTGCAGTAATGGAGAAACATTGATGTGGAGGAGAAGCAAAAGGCTAAGGCATTTGCTATCACAAATACCCTGAAAGCAGTTTTCGTGCTTAGAATTGCCATTCCCTCGTCTGGGCCGTCACTTTTGTACCCACCAGGCATAGTGAAACCTGCTGCAAAGGAGACAGTTGCGATGAGTGTTGTTACCAGCAAATTGATGCTGGCTATATTCTGAAGTTGGTCGCGGTTAGGCTTTTTTAGTCCTGCAACTTCTGTTTTCCTTTTTGCAAGTTGTTGTTGGCCTTCAACTTGTGTGTCGCTCGCAGGATCTCCTCTCTCTGATCGTTGTGGCTGTTCTAGTTGTCTTGTGTCAATTGATCTTGTTTTTCTACCATTCTTGTTGATTGCATGTTCCAAAGTTTCTAGACCACCATAGCTTGCAACACTCATTGAGATCCAATTCTGCAAGTATCTCAAATACATTGAAGTCACATCTCAAGTTTAGAACTACCTTTTCAGTAAAGAACTTTGTGGTTGTGTTGAAAAAATTTACCAATTTTTTTATCTACTACCATAATTTTCTAGCTTTTAAGGAAGAAATTTGTTCTGGTTTATATTGCTTACCATCTCCAAATATTTTCCCACAAACTTAGCATGCCATACTAATTTCTTTCATTTCTCTCAATCTATCAGACACTCATATCACAAAGTTATTTTCTTCGTTCTTCGACTGGAACTTGTTTGATGTAATGAAATAGAAAGTAGAAAGGCATTCAGGTCTTACGACTCAATACCTTTTCATAGAAACCGTACTCCTTCAACAGAAGAATGTCAAGAACAGTGTGGCCCTCCATGTTTATGGCTGTCTTGTCTACCCTACTATCTTTTATCAGCATTTCAAAGATTTTGCGATGATGTCCTTGGATTGTGGCAAGATGTAAAGCTGTGTTACCTTCATTATCTTGCTGGTTTATAAGGCCATCATGAGAAAGATCTGTGCCAAGAATAAACTTGACAGAATCAAGCTTTCCTCCAGCAACAGCAAGGTGAAGAACTGTTTGGCCTTTGTTATCTTGTAAATCCCAAATTTGGGGAAAAAGATATGCAAGCATTTCCAACATGACTACTTCACCTTCTCTTGCAGCAATGTGAGTGACAGACATGCCTTCTTTATCTCTAATATAAACAGTTGACAGGTCAATATACCTCAAAAACATCTTGAAAATGTCCACTGCACCAAAGTGTACTGCATATTGCAGAGGAGTCCATCCATAATCATCAGTTTCAGAGAGTGCAGCAGATTGACATTTTTCCATCAAGCATGCAACAAAATCTAGGCCAAGAGGAAAGGTTAATTAAATATGTTATGTTTGAGCAGGAATTTTAGAAGAAAAAGGGAAATAGATTGATAAGTATTTGATCAGAAGATTAATGGAAGTACCATGATGAGTTTTGAGATGCATTTACCTTTGTAAATTGAGTTACGGAAGGCAGCCTGAATGATGGCAGAGGGTCCAAAGGAAGAGAACTGGAAAGAATGCTTGAATGACATATTGGTAACGTAATTCATAGGACTCTGAAGCTTCACCATATAGGAAGATAATCTGAGAACTGCAAGGTTAAAAAGGTAACAAAAATAAACTTGGCTACCAAAAACTTTCCAATGGCTTACATTCTGCTGGTTAGAAGCAGATAAAGAGGAATAAAACTATTGCTTACGCTTTTCAATTCTATTTCATTGGATATTTCCATTTCCAATTCAGTTCGATGTAAAATCATCAGCAGATAGTATCATTTTACCATTGCTTTTCCTCTGATTAATGAATAGACGACAAAGGAATTACCTTCATCCTGTGACCGAATGACGGCTGCATGTAATGCATTCATATTGTTCCTACCCTGGAAAGAGCAAAATGGAGCAACTTGCAAGATAAGTTTAGCAATATCAATATATTTTTTATCCACAGCAATAAAGAGTGGGGACTCCTCAGCATCATTTGTCAAAAGAGTTAACTCCGGATCTTCTCTAATTAGCAATTCTGCAATCTGATCATGTCCGTTTCTTACAGCATCATGAAGTGCAGTGTCTTGCTCCATATTCACCATCCTTATAAGCCTTTCACCTGCTTCAATTTCCTGAGTCATGGTATTTGCACAATTTATGAGGACTTGAGCTGTCCCCAAACTCCCCAACCTTGCTGCAATATGTAGTGGAGTATCACCTTTAGAATTCTTTTGATTCACAAGTGAAACCAATGGTGGTAATCTAATGATCTCCTCTGCCATCCGCTTCAGATTATATTTGGCTGCAACATGGAGAATGTTGTCTTCCTGTGTTGTCACCTGGAGAAAAACTGTTAAATCCGAGCTTGCTAATTCCTGCAAAGAAGCAAAGTCACCGGTTATTACAGCTTCATACAGTTTAGGATCCATTTCTTTGACTTCTTTTTAGTGGTCTAGGCAATGGTTGCTGATGCCCCTATAGCAATGCTTATTTATAGGAAAACTCTCATTGAACCTAATGGACTTAAGGTGAATAAAATACATAGGAGACGAAAGCAACTTACGCGTTTTAGCTTTGGAGTTATTGCAATGGAATAGAAGCAAAAGTTCCATTGAGTTTCTGCTGGCTATCCCTCTAGGAAATAGTTCTACAGGCCAGTCCAAACCCAGACCTGTTGCCGGCCGAAGCCAATAAAAAAGACAGGCAAAGTCTCTTTAACTTTTCTTATCCGTTAATCTGATTGGGACATGCAGGAGCCACAGCCGAGACGAATAGAAGAAAAGAACATCGGAATTGTAATTTTCTGAGAAAGACCGCCTAACGCACTGCTTGTAGTGCTAGAGCAAAATGCCATTGTTTCTTTCTCAGATACTCACAAATTTGCTCCTATAATATATCTATAAATAACAAATATAAAGAATGATGAACTTGTCCTTGTCACATCAATCATAGTACATGGGATTGTTGTTTTACAAAGAGCTTTGACACCCTCAAGAAAGAGCTTGTTTATGTGTCTTTGTCCTTTTTATAATAAAGCTGAGAAATATGCCATTGTCACCAAAATTCCATAGTCTCCAAAGGCAAGACCAAGACTATAGTCCGGACAATAAAAACCCCCACAATCAATTGAAACATTGAAAAAAAAAATTTCTTATTGAGTTAACCTGTCCTCATAGAATCATAAATGCAAACACTGACGGGCAAAGTTGAAAAAATACAATACAATTTCCCTATATAATGAAAAGAATTCAATAATCCTCCACTAAATATAGACTTGCAAAGGTGAATAATCACATCAACACCAGCCATAAAAAGAATACTAATTTAGTTAAATGAAATAAGAAAGCATTGAAGTTTCATACTAATCTAAAGTGTCAAAATTCCCAGTTGCTATAATTGTGACTCCAGCAACATTTTTAATGTTTAGATAATAATAATAATAATAATAATAATAATAATAATAATAATAATAATACTACGTTAATTAGATAGTTTTGTTTTGTTTTTTTTTTTGTCAATTATCTTATCTCTTTTATTCATTTTCAATCAGGAATATTTAACATAATATACAATTATGAAAGTTGAAATTCAGGTTATTTTATTTAAATTGCTTCAGGAAGTATAACAGAATTTGTATACATACGTATGCAAGTAGAATCATGCAATTGGTTATTTAAAAAAATTACATATTTTATGTATAAATTCTTAAAAATTTATTTCTTTTATCTAAATACATTTTTTGGATAATTGAAGAATTTATTATTTGTCCAAAAAACAGATATACCGCTACATAAAATTTGTTCTAGCCAATTTAGCTAGTGCATGAGAATGAAAATACCTTTTTCTTTTTACTTCTTCGCTTCAAGAAATAAAACATACGTAGCATGTAAAAGAAAATCTGAATAGATTATACACAACAAGTAATGTGCAAGGAATCATGTTTTCATCTTCTTCGCATGTAACTACCATATACAATCAATTAAGACAATAATACTAAAGTAAACAACCCTATATTTTTTTTCTTGTCACATATATAAGATAATTTTGTCACACCTAAGGTAACATAACTAAACCTTCAATATAATTAATTCAATGCTTATTGCCGCACATACAAGTAGATATAAACATTTAATTTGTACGATTTAAAAAACATTTAATTTGTACGAAATCGTGTTTGTTTCAGCATTTTAATGGAAACATTTTGTTGGGCTCATTTGGACTATTATTTTCAATTATATGTGTTAAGGTCTAATCCAATTCAATTTGAGTTAATTCAAAATTGGGCTAAATCCAAAATTTGATTAATGCCTAAGTTAATTAAATTTGATTAAGTAAAAGGATGGAAATTTTACAAAAAAGGAGACCCGGGTTGGGGAAGGAGGGGGGGGGGGGGGTCGGCAGCCACGGCGGCCTTCTCCCTTCCTCAGATTCACCTTCTCCCTGTGATGCTGCCCCATTCTCATCTATCTTTTCTTAAACTCATTTTAGAGTTTAGCCTCATTTTCTATTAACATGAACTGATCAAACAAATCCATATTTCTAAATTCAACATGCTCCACCATCAAGAAGTAGCAAGCTCCTCCACCCAAGCTAACAAGACTAAGAATAACAGTCCTAAAGCCAAGTCCCAGATTCCACTTCTATCAGAAGCATAACTCTATAAGGAGGGACGGAAAAATCATATAAAGAGAAATTCCAAGAGCTAATCGGCACAAAAAAAGACCTCAACCAAAACCCAGCCCAAACTGCCTGTCCGCCATTGATAACCCATTTTCAAAACCGTCAACCTTCAACTAAAGAACCACGTGAAACCCATATTTCCAGCCTAGACCAGCAACCGAAAACAACCTCCACTAACCAATCTGCCACCACCAATAATCACCAAACCGCCATTTTACCCACCAACCGAACCCAAAAAGCCCTCTTCGTTACCCATCCGCACCACCGAGGCCCCATTGCCAACCAAAAATCCCACCTGCCATACCTCAACACAAATTAACCCAACACCATCATTACACAGCAAAAATTAAAGCCACAATAACAAATAGCAAAAACCAAAAACAACAACAGAAATATCAAAATCCAAAAGTGGGAACGGTAGGTTCGAGCTTAGTTTCGAATTTGAAAGAGTTTTTTGAGGGTTCTTTACAGCCCTAGGCTAGAAAACAAAAAGGGAGAAGAAACACCACCATCGGCAGCTGAAACGGTGGCAGTGTAAAGAGGGTGGCGGCGACGACAGCCTTTTCGGAGATTTAAATGGTGAAAATGAAGATTAGGGAGAGAATCACATACTTTGGTTTCAGAGAGATCGGATGGTGGGATAGCATTTTCCGGCCACTTAAAGTTTCGAACTTTGGGGGTTAGATCTAGGGAAAACCAAAGACTTCTATGCAAAATTACGTAAAAAGTGGCAACAGAAGGTCAAGAGAAAACTCCAGTGGAAATTTGGGGTCAAGAGACACCGGTCGACGGCGGCGCCGAAAATCGGGACTGGTGACCAGAAATCACCATTTGGGAGAAGCTTTGAGTTTTTTAGTTGTGAAAGAGGAGAAGTGAGACCAAAAATTGCTGAGTGTTAAATAAAGCACCAAACGGTGCGTTTAGGGTTTGGAGGTCTGATCCGAAACCCAAATCCATCAGGCTCAATCCAATTGATTTGTAACCCATTCCAAATTGGGCCATTGATTCTTTAGTTTTTGGGTTGAAATTGAGGTATATTTTAATTTCATTTATCTCTTTTGCATATTAATTTATTTATTACCTATTTGTTTATTTTTAAATGCAATTTTAGTTTAAAAAGTAAATTTGTTTGTGGATGATTGAAGCTGATAAAAAAATCTTATAAATTTTCAAAAAAAAAAAAGAAATAATTTTTATGATTTCAAAAAGATTCTTGAAAGGGAATTTTAGGAATAAAAAGCACAAGTAATATTTCTAAGTAAAAAATAATTTTGAAAACTCTACTTAAATAATGAAGAAAATTCAAATAATTATTTTTTTACAAATGAGTATTCTCTTTGTTTTTTTAAAATTTATTATGTGAAATTCTCAAGTTTTAAATCCACTTAGACATTAGAGAGTGAAAAAAATAAAAATAAATATTTTTAATTAAAAAATGTCATTTTCATCATAAATAATATTTATTTAGAAAAGAAACTTAATTACATGCATCATTTAGTCTATGTTCACATTATCATACATGCATTTTGTGCATTAATAATAGATGTGAAATCACTAGATAACAATTTCAAAAAAATTTTCTTTTAGAAAAAATAAGATAATTTAAAAAAATGAAAGTGATTTTGAAGATCTTGCCTGAATATTAGAAGGAATCCAAATCACACTTTTACTAAGGGATATCATTTCCATCTTTACTACAAATTAGTCATGAGAAATTTTTAAAGGATTAATTTTCTTAAATTCTACTTAGATATTGGTCAATTAGAGAAATTTTTTGACACCAAAAGGTTTCATTTTATCATTAAATGTTTTTTTTTTAAAAGCGACAATGATGAAAAAAAATAAAAAGAAACAAAATTAAATTTTATAAGTTGAATTAAATTGGTTGTTCTTATTTTTTAATTTATATTTGAATTATTTATTTGCTTCGTATTGCATCACAAGCATTTTATTATTGTCAAAGAAATGTAAAGCAATAAATTGTGATTTTGGAAAATCTTTTTTATTAGAAATAGAAAGCTAATATTTTTAAGTAAAAGTAATTTTTATCAAAGTAAAAGATAACACATGATCAATTGATATCATTTTAAAAACCAATGTTGTGGGGGTGTTAATCTTTTTCACGTGTAATCATACTCTCGAATTTGATTTTATTTTTTACAGATCCAAAAATTATCTTTTTAATAAGTTTTAATCAATTTTAAAATTTTATTAGAATAATAATTTTTTAAATAATCAATCACACCTAACCAAAAAATTGATGATGACTTTTTATTTTGATTTTAAAATTTATTCTAATGATACTAAAACCGTTATGACAATAGATATCACTTCAATAAAAAAATCTATGATAATAGATTCTTGGATTCTCAATATCTATACTGCATATAAAAGCTATCCCTAATATATATTGAGGGGATAGCTAAGCAATGTAAATAAAAGCAATCAATAGGTAATTCTGGGAAAGGAGTTTGTCTAGAAGCTTCTCCAAAAATCAGTAGGTATTTAAATAGAGAAAAAACAAAATAAAATGAGGTTTTCCTTGGGCATGAGAATCAATATCCGTATCAATATGTTCAAGGCTATAATAATGATCAAAAGTTAGTAAGGTTGGGCTCATTTGCTACTAAAAAGGCAAAAAAAAAGAGGATGGCTAGGCAGAGAAGGTTTTCATCACGTCATAGAAATCACAATCAATCATAATAATCAACAAAGCTAACATGAAAATTAAAGTGTTGACCAATATACAAGGTTTGTGAGCAATAACTGTGTGCCAGTAGCACAAGCCAACCTTGAAAATTGGGTTTATTGGCCATCGGTTGGTGGTAATGTAGCTTCAAGACCTCTGATTTTGTCTGGTAAGGTTGCTTTGGTACATCTTGTGGATCGACCAGCCATGTAAGGGCAAACTTATTAATGGTAAGTGGCATCAGATAGAAAAAAGGTGGGTTCTTTGATCCTCGATCCTTTCTTTTTATTATGATGATCAGATACATTAATTTTTTGGGGTTGTAACTATTGATGCATGATTAAGATAAGAGCGTTAAATATATATATGTAAGTAATGATGCAGTTTGCTTTTTTAGATGTGTTTTAGGGATGGAAACCTATGAAGAATTTGTGATTTCTTTTGCAAAAATTGTTGAAACAAAGCGATGTTGGCAATTATGGAAGAATCGTGCTTCCAAATGTGTCCTCCATCTTCCTTTTATCACTTTTAGAGAATAATTTTAATCTTTTCTAAAAGACTGCAATTTAATTTTAGTAAAAATAAAATGGGAAAAGAAACTCTATTATTCATGTTTCAATACCTTGTTTGCTTTTTACATGATATTTTTCTTTCATTCCTTGGTCGGATTTTTCAATTGATTTTGTGATAAATTGTAGGTGGTGTTACATTTTTTAGAAAAGCATGATTATTGAATTGGTAAAGAAAAATGACAATAAAGAGTTTGGTAGACAAACAATTAAGACATGAATGCGAATAATATGCATTTCATTTTGTTGAATAAGGTAGTAAGTTCATATTCTTAATTCATTAGAAGTTTTTGATGAGAAATGTTTTCAATTTGTTTAAACATCAGCCTCTATGATTAGGTAATTGTTCGTTTTCAAATTCTTAATTGTTTTTTTGATTTGCAGAGCTTAAAAAGAAAAAGCTTTATGATATAAGAGCAGGATTGAATGATGCAGAAGCTTTGGTTCCTTGTTTATTGCCTATTTTGGATACTCATTTTTAGTCTTTCCTTTCTTTGGGTATTCAACTTGATGTTGCTTTTTTCGTTTCTCAAATTCAAAAAGTGGACCTTGTGGCAAGAAATTTTAGCCAAATGTTAAGGCTATGCTTCTTGCTAAGGTAAGGGAATATAAATAAGATTTTAACAATTTAAAAAGTGAAGTTAAAAGGATTACATCTAGCAATTTAAATCCTGCTACTCGAGATGAGTTGTTAAAGTTTGAAATATATTGAAGGTTTTTTTTGAAATAATGTAATTGTATTTATAATCTAAAAATACTTGAACTTAGTAAGTTAAATGATGGGTTTGCTTATATCATTGTAATTTCACTAAATCTAGAAAGGCGAGAAAGCTCTCATGCCCAAAATATTCATTGGGTATTAATCTAGCTTACGAAATTAAGTTATTGAACTGAAGAACTAATTATGTTTGTCTTCGTTTCAGTTTTGCTATTCTTCTCACTTGATATGACAATAATATATATTGTATAAGTGAATATGTGTGATTTATTAATTCAAATCTCTAGTTATTACAATATCATGTAATTTGACTAAAATAAGGCAAAAAAATGGAGAATAAGAATAGCATTTTTCATAAAATTAATATGAGAAATGTTAACTGATGTCGTTTGGTGCAGTGCTATAGGAGGTGCTCTTCACACTACGTACAATATTGCACTTTTGGTTGAGCTCATTTTTTCACTTGCTTATATGATTTATTTTTCAAACCTTTATTCATTTTAACCTTAATTATCATAGACATTCAAGATTATCATGTAAAAAAGAAAAAGAAAAGAAAGTTTTGGGGGCATGCTTTAATTAAACTTTTTTGGTAAATGCATGTAATAATGTGGGATATAGGATGCTTTATCTAATTTGGGGTTTACAATTTGTTTTTTTGTTTTACAGATCCATCATTGAAAGTGGGTAATGTCTCATGTCTACTAACCCTGTAGTTTCACTAGTATAGTAATGTTTTGAAATTTTGTGAATTTTATCACGACAATCACTAGAAGGATTTTATGAATTTCATGCACTAAGATAAGAAAGTACTTTGCTTTTTTGTTTTCTATTAATTTCTCCTAGCACATAATAAATTCCTCAATGTGTAAATTTGTAAAGTAATATAGACTTTTAGCATGCATGTTATAAGTCATGATGCTGGTGTTTTAATTAGATTTTATGTATTGTTTTTCAAATCAATTACTTCCCTCAAGGTATGATCCTGTTCATCATGCTAAGTGGTTTCCTATCCCTTACGCTATTTGCATTGGAAAGAGTAAGACAATCAGTTCTTATTATTGTCTTCTTCCATCTAATTTTCAAAGTGTTTATAATTTCAACCAAGTTTAGCAATGCAATTCATGTTTATTCAATTGCATGAGTTTATATGTATGTTTGTTTTAGCGTAATCCAATTCTACATAACCATTTGCTTGATTTTGATGTTTAAATTTTGATATAAAAGCTGAGGAGCATTTAAAGTAATAATTAATTTCTTTTAATCCAATAAGCTATAGCAAAATAGTATGTTTGTTTGATTTCTAGGGATAGGGAAAGTGCAAGATGATATTTGCTCCTTTTCTTTTTGGTTTCTACTAACTTTTCAAACTTTGTCATATGTTGTAGTCTTTTTAACTTTTAGCATTCAGCTTCTAGAATTAACTATAAATTATAATATTTTGGTTGGTGAGACTAATATTTTTGGTTGACACAATGCATTATTGAAACGAAAAACAACTTCAAACAGACAAGCAAGATATGTCAATCGTAGGCACCAAACAGATATCACTGGATTCTCTATTATTTTTAAATTAAAATAATAGATAAATAACAAATATCATTGATTCTCTCAAGTCTGTCACATAATTGGGCTTTATGCCTTTGTTAGAAGAAAAATGGTCTATCTAACATTATAGTAATTATATGTCAATAAAACTTTATATTATCTCATCTATGACATGCTTTTGAAAGAGAATATCTAATGCATTATTGCATGTTTTAGGGTTTAGGGTAAATATATTAATACATTATCTCATAATTATATTGATTTTTATTTATATCTTTAATGATAACAGCATCGTAGCATAGCGGGTATAACCCCTAGTATGTATTATACATATCACATTCTCACACGTGCACATACACGTGATTCTCAACACTTTAGCTTTGACCTTAATTTCTTACATTAGTTATTAGGCCTTAGCATATCATTCCTTATTCTTATTTATAACTTTTTGCCTCGTGAATCAATTTTGGAAGTGACCACCACCTTTATCTGTTCTTATCGATGTCATGTGGCGTCGGTGATCACTTTTGCAATAGCATAACCTGCGACGAAGCCTACTGCACCTACAGGTCCAGTTGCTATTAGAAGAGGAACTCCAACTCCAAGAGGAACTCCAATTTTGGTCACGAGCTCAGGACTTGTTGCTGAGCCTGTTTTGCAGTACACAGCAAAGTGCTCGCAATTTCTTTTTAAGAGGCGATAGGGGCCAAAGTCATTCCTTTCCAGGAAATCAGTGGCTGTCTTAACAACTTCATCGGCTGCCTTGGAGCAACAATGTGACTTAACGTATACTGAGTGCCCGTCACAGAAACAATCGAGGCAGGTTTTGATGACTCGTGTAATGATGTCTGGCTTGTATCCACATTTGGGGCATGGAGCTGAAGACCCTCTATGCTTTGTTTTGGAAGGTGGCATGAGGTGAATGACCATGCCATCGCCCACATATATTCCTGGTGTCAAAAATAGCCAAATTATGACTTACTCAGTTATTATGATAGATCATCTCGATCAATAAAATCCCTTAACCATACATCATGAAAAGAAAAAAAGAAAAAGAAAAGCAAACCATGATGATTGTATAAGGAACTTCCACTCCTGTCGCAGTAGATGTGATCTCCTGGTTGGAGCGAACTCTTTGACTGTCCCATTTTTTTAAACTGTATTTCAAATCCTTTAGTTGAAGTTGTCTTCTTTGCAAAAAACTCGACGAATTTATAGTAGATGTGTCCAGGAGAATCCAAGCAACGTGCAATCGAGAATCAAATTAATAAAGAAAAATACCTATGCTCTAAAACTTAAAAAAGTAGGTTCTTATGCGAGACAATATTGTACATAATTACTGTCCATTACTGGTGCGGAATTTCACACACGTAATGTGAATGCTTGAAATGTTTAGTTGCTTTAGCATAACTTTTAAATCAAATGAAAATGTGTTATATTTATATTTACGAGCCTCTTATTAATTAGCAACTAGAATGTTAACCCGGCTTCGTGTGGGATTTTTTTGCAAATATTTATAATTTTTTTGAATTAAAAATAAAAAATGAATGGCTTATTCAAAATGTATTATAAATAATAATAGTAATAAAGAATTAAAAGATATTTGATTTAAAGTATTATTTTTTCAGTTTTTATCCGTGTGTTACCATGAGAGTAAATTTTTTTATTCAATAAATTTTATTTTTAGAAATATTTAATTTTTGTATATCTAAATATATACTAATTAATATAATCATATTTATTAATTATAAAAATTAGATATATTAAAATATTTGTTCATAAACTATATAATATAAACGTATTTGAAGTGCAATAGATAAATTGATATCCATTTCCTTAGTTATTAAATGTTTATATTTTATTATGTGACTTAACATTTAATATTAAATTAACAAAATTTATTTTTTAAATTTTATTATTCTTTGTTTTTGAAAAAATTATTTAATTCACAATGTTATTTTCTTTTTTATCAATAATAATTTTATTTTCTTAAAAGCTTATTTATCTTTATTTTTTAAATAATTCCATAATTTTAATTTTTGCACAAAATAAAAATAAAATAAAATAAAATAAAAAGAATATATTACGTAATTATAAATGAATTAACCCAATTTAATGAACCCAAAACAATTTTAATTAGACTTGAGATTTGGATGTAATTTTATAAATCCAACCACTTTCTCTTTAGGCCAAAAAACCCACCTCTGTTTTCTTTCTTTACATTTCTTCCTACTTGTTCTTTAAACTCACCGATTTAAACACCTAAATCTATACTAAAAAAACTAACCCTAATTCATTTTCTCCTTTTCTTCATTCTCTCTATCGCCACTTTCATTCTCTTTAAAAAATCCATTTTTGATTTCTTTTGCCGTTCCCATTATCCGTGCCTAAATTCATCACATGCTTATTTCTCCTTCTTAAAAGCATCCTCTGACTTCATCCTTCCTCTTCCATCAAAGTTTTCTTTTGAGTTTTAATTAGCAACCCACTTTCTTCTTTTTTTTTTAAAAAAACTAAACCCCTCAAGGAAACCCAAAAAGCTCCTCTAAATGTCTCAAAAGTTTCAACAATCTTATTCTTTTCTAGTGTTAGATTTAAAAAAAAAAAAGAAATTGAAAAATGCAAATCTATTTTTTTAATAAAATCTCAGATTTAAAGTTCTTTTTTTTTTTATAATGGCTCGTACTGGTTTATGGGTAATTTTTTGCAGGAGAAAATTTTTCTAAAAAACAAAAGTTCAGATTTTGTGATTTTTTAAACAAATATTGTTATTTTGGTGGATTTTTAAACAATTATTGCTCTTGAGGTAGCTTTGGTATAAATGGTAATTGAGATCTTTATATTGAACTTACACTTGTTTCATCACAAAGGGATATACATCATTTGAAAAAGAAAATTTGTCCTATAATTTAAATAAAAAATTTAGAATAATATAACATTGAAATATAATAAAAAACTATATGAAACTCATTTGAATTTATTTAACTATATGAGCCATTAAATGCCATATTTTTACCTTTATTTGCAGATAACATGTCCCTTTATTTATGCCTTTCTCAATGTAATATGAAAAATATAAATCAACAAACACTTTATCATATCAAATTTTGTATTCATAAAAAAAATTTAAATATATGTATATGTAACATACCTTTGAGAAGATCTACATTGTTTTAATATCATTTTGAGAAAAATTTTTCAACTAGTGACTTGAAAAGGTGCATTTTGCCGAACGTAATTTGTTACTTCTGCCTTGAAGAGTTTGGCACCCTTACCACATACTTTATAGTATGGAATAGCGTTAGCCTTGAATTGATTCTTATTTTGAAATGACAAAATATTAAGCTAAATAAGCTTGATCAAAATTTTAAAAAAGATTTATTTAGTACATGTTCTTAACTTTTATATTTTGGTACTAAATAAATAATAAGATTTTCAAAGTTTAAACAAACCTTTTTTTTATGTTTTCTTATTTCTCAAATCAAAACTACTTTTAAACATTATTTATTTGAGCTTAAATGAAAGTTTAATTGTTGTTTTTAGAGTGAACTTATTCATTTTGGACTCAATACAATTTTGATAATATTGGTTTTTAGGAATAGATTAACTTAAGAAAGTTGTTTTACAATAACAAAGTTTTTCAACATTGAACTTGTTTTATTTTTTTTGTATTAATTCATAAATCTTTAATATTTGAATTTTATATGATTGAAAAGCTCTTTGAGTATACTTTCTAATGGATTAAACAAAATCTAAATCTAAATTTTTTAAGAAAAGATTTTAAATTTTTACTAGACACTTTGCAATTATCTAAAAACTGCATAAAGGGTAGTTTTGAAATTCACTATAATTTGTGTACAATGAATTAAGTGATGAATTTTATATGGATAGAAAGCCTTTTCTAAATCTTTAAACGGTTTTTAATTTGGAATTGTATAACTCAAGATATGATCAAATTAATGAGTAAAGTACAAAGCAGAAGACAATCACCTAGCTTGATCGAATCGATCCCCTCTCTGTAGGGATCGATTGGCTAGGGTTTTAAAGTGACTCGATTGATCCCCTTTAAAGGATTGATCCATTTTTTATATTAAAAAATTGTTAGGTTAAAAACTTATGGAAGGAATTGATCCCCCTTCATAGGGGATCGATCATTTAGGTAAAAGATTGATCAAGTCCCTTACCTGATCGATCAAATTTGCATAGAAATGTGCTTAACAACTAGTTTTTCAAGCTTCTAATGAGCATTTCTTTTTTAAAACCATCCCCAACAGCTATTTATTCAATTTTTCTATAAATTGGGTATTTTAACACACTAAGAAGATTGATAAATCAAGAGAGTAAGAACTAACAAGCTATATTTTTATTCTCTCAAAGAATCAAGAGTTGTTAGAGCTTAAAAATTCATATCTTTTGTATTTATTGTATCTAAATCATATTTGTTGTTCATTCATTATTTCCTTATACTTAAACTTGGCAAACATGTAGCCTTTGAGATGTATTTTAAGTTTGCATTTCTATTAAGTGATTTTATAATCAAGAGGTGAGGTATCATCTTGAATTTGTGAGATTGAAAGATTGCTACTTAGCCTAAAAAGTAGAGAATGTTAGGTTACTATCTAAGCCTTGAAAAAAGATAAAGTTGTAATTTTAATTCAAGAATAGTGGATTGAAGCCTTGGTGTAGACAACTAAGAAGAGATGATGTAGATGCCTTATGTAAAAGGACTGAAACTCTACAAATCCTTATGTTTGATTTCTCTATTCCTATCTTTTTATTTTACATTTGGTTTAAGATTATCAATTTATTGTTATTTGCACTATATTTTGATATTAATCTTAATTTTTCATTCAATTATATTAAAATCATTATTTTGGAAGAATTTGGAGAAATCCAATTCACCTTCCTTTTAGATTACCAACTTACCTAAAAAGCTAACAAATAGGAAATTGGATATCAAGATTATTACCTTTCATTCTCATTTTGGCTAGTTTTGTATTTTTGGTTGGTCCTCTTCCTCTTTTATTAGAAGTTCCATTCCCTATTAAAAAAGTTTACAATTAGAAAGCATATAACTTAATATACGGTCATATATATCACTCAACTTACTTAAAGCATTGTTATATATATATATATGTTTGAAATCACATTATCTGTGAAAGCAACAACTTGTCATTCTAGACTTATCTCGGTATTTGAATTCTCAAGTAAAGTATTAGGTAAGTAATTAGACATATAGGCAACTTGAGACTTATTTGTAGTATGAAAGTATCATGTTGTGCATCACTTGAATTTACAAAAAGACTTATGTTGTAAAATATTAACCATTTTATTCCTAAAAGCTAATAAATATTTCAATTAGAATACATAATCATAATTTATAAAATTAAAAAAAATCAATTATATCAAAAAATTTTGAATTAAAAAAATTAATTATACTCTAAAAAAATCAATTATCTAAATCAAAATAAAATTAAAATATAAATATTCTAATCATATTAAGGACAATATTTAAAATACAAAAATTTATCTCAAACCAAAGAACAAATAAGCATACCAAAAATCTTGAGAACGAACTTGACAAACTTGAAAATAGACTGGACAGACTTGGTGCCTAAGTCTATTTTATTTTATAATATTTATCTTTTGTTTATTGTATCAATAGGTAAAATATTACCGCCTAAACCTCGATAAAATTTGGTCCTCCCCCAATTTTTAGGCTGCAAATTAAGGCTGGGTTCTGACACCCCAATTTTTCTTATACCATAAATTTTGACTTTTAAATGGTGTAATCTGACAAGTTAATTGTAGGAAATTTTTAGGCCGCAAATTTTAGTGACCATTCACTGAAAAGTTACGAAATAAGTCACAAAAAATGGCGTCAATTGTAATGAAAAGCTACAAAATAATAGCAAAAAAATGGCGTCAATTATAGGTAACTCTTTTTTTTTCATCATTAAATGGTGTAATCTGACACCTCAGTATTTTATTACAATACAATAATTTATTACATAAAAAATAAAAAAACAATATAATAGTTATTACATCCAACACAATAGTTTATTATAAAATTAATTGACTTAAACATTAAAACCAGTTGACTTGATAATACAATATATAAGTCAATTAGTTTTATTTCAAACAATTTTTTGAATTTTTATTACATAAAAATTAAATACAATACTAAATACAATAAATATTAATATATTTATTAATTAAATATTATTTTTATATTATATCTTTTATTCTTATATTTAAAATTAAATGCATTACATATTAAATAATGATATTTGATAATATTAGAAATCTTTATAACTTTCATTTGACTTTGAATTTGTTTTTTTTTTTTAAATTTTATATATTGACATGATGATACTTAATTTTTATA